ATAATACCATGGTTAATAGTACAATGACTTAAAAAGAAAATAAAATGGTCAATTACTTCTGCTACCACTATTTATTATTATTATCACTATATACAAGGACTACGAAGGAAATAGATTGATCAAGAAAAAGTATTTTAACTAGATTGGATTAGCAATGTGAATATATTATTTTATTCGAATCATAACTTTCAATGTAATTCGGATAAATCTTATTCGAATAGAAAACCCTGCTACTACTTATTACTATTCTCCTGATATTTTTGATCACACGTTTCGCGCTCTGTGTGCACAATAACAAAATTTTGAGACGATCTGCACGGTTTCTTGATTGTATATATTTCAAAAGTATAAACCAGCAAACATCATTTTAGTATTAATGCTAAATTTTACGAGAACAAATATGTCCTACGCCATGACTCCAATTTCAATTGGGCAAGTACAATTTAAAAAATCACGTGATAGTACAATCAGATGAAATATAAAATAGATAACGTGACATATTGTCTTGTGAATTTTTATTAATTATATAAATAAAATTTATTTAAAAACTTATTATTCTAAATGCAGCCAAAGCTCGTTAAATTCATATGCGATAAATTCATAATTCCTTAAATTCATAATTTTTCAAGAACAAGTGTCACTTATATTAAAATTTTATTCGATAATTTCATATTTATAGTAATAATAAAATCTCGATAATTGGAATAATTCGATAAATTCATAACTCTGACTTTTTGTATATGTCACCATATATGAAATCACGCATAAAAAATATATTTTGTCCAATTATTAAAATTTTAAAATTTTAAAGATGCGAAATTTTTTTTTTTAATTTTTAAATTTGTTTTTGGAACACGAGCATCCATTAATAAACAAAAGTATTATTTGGTACAGTTCTGAAAAATTAATATAAATTTTCCGTATATTTCGCGTTTTTTTGTATAGAATATTAGCATGTATGGAACCAGGGCTGGAAATAGTACTTTAAAAATCCGGATTTTCCTTTCAAAAATTTTAATTTCCGAAAAAAAAAGTGTTGCCGGATATTTTTCCTTTTTATTTTTAAAAAATTTTATACCAAATAATGTATACATATATGTGTATCACTACAATATTTTAGAAAAGAACCATAATTTGTATCATTTGAATTTTCAGAAGAAAAGTATTAATTTAAATCTTATTTCACTGCTATTAAATTATTAAATTTAAAAATACATACACTTTAAATATGAATTTATGTATATTTGTTTTCCCTTATTCAAAAAAATAAATTATAAATAAATAGTGTAGAATAAGAAGAATTAGATAATCTGACTACTGAAATTCGGGGTGAAGCATTTATAAATGAAACAATTCAAGGCTCAGATAAATAAAAAAAGTGAATTAAGTGAAAACCATGTCAAATAAAAAAATGCATTTTAAAAATCAGGAAGAAGTTTTCATCATGAATGGCTAAACACATATAAATGGTTAAAATATGATGCAGCAATGTTGTATGTGAATTGCGAATTCACATAATTTCATTTTCATGTACAACAGCAATAAAGAGAATGTTTTGCACAATTTGTAAAGCACATGGGAAAAAAAATCAATTTGCAGAAAAAGGTGACAAATAAATATAATTAATTTTGCAATTATTAATTTGCTATACTTTAATGTTATTATTTAGGATCAAAAAATTACTGCTCTAGCAACTCATGCACTTTCAAACCAACATGATGGTTTTTTGCTTCTAGAAAAGGCAAGAATAACCATGCAAGATTCTTCCAAAAAAGCCACTAATAATGGTAACAAACATATAATTAATATAATGAAAATGATTTACTGGATGGCAAAAGAAAATATTCCAATTTCCAAACTCCAAGTCTTATTCATATCTTAAAACTTATAGAAATAGTGCACTCAATTCAATTTTCTAGTGTAGATTGTGAAACAAACAGAATATTATCAAAACAGATTATGTAATGCAATGGAAAATGACATATTGCACTTATTAATGATGGTTGGTTTAGAAGGTACTGATTTATTTTGTTATGATTTTAGTGATGCTCTTAGTAAATTTCTTCAAAGTAAAAAATAGAAGAATAAAATAAAGAAAATTCTTAAATTTGAAAAAAATTTTAGTACCCAAAAAATTTCCTTTTTCTTCCGGAAAATTCTTAGCATTCAGGAAGAATTTCCGTTTTTTTTCAGACCCTATTTTCCAGCCCTGGTTCTGACAAGTGTAAAAACACTAGGCAATAACAAAAAAGTAAAAAAAATTTTTTTTTGAAAACAACCCAGAACTTAAAACATGAGACAGCGATCATGTGTAACATTTGACACAGTGAATTTTGGTTGTAATGTGAAAAATATGAAAACGTGTAAATTTTTTTAATATAAATATGCTATTTTACAATAATTTGTAACAATTACAGTGATGATGGATGATGTGACAGAATGTTGTCTAAATTTTTCAATATTTTTTTAAAAAAAAATTCTCTCTAAAAAGTCTATAAAA